TATATATATATATATATATAGAGAGAGAGAGAGAGAGAGAGAGAGAAAGTATTGGCCACATATAAAACAAACGCCAGATTACTTTTCTTTACAATCACATAAGGCTAACTAAAACAGTAGCCCCACAATTCCAAGAATCTCAGACAGTTGTTTACACTTACAGCCAACTGTTTGCGCATTTTGAGTGTTGCCCTATATCACAGAGCAGTTGGGTGATTATGATCATAAGGGCCAGGACTCGACCAGGTACACCACAACTTGACTGCATATATATCCGTCCAAGTGTTGGATGAGTCAGTCAGTGGAGGCCCTGTGTTGTTTTTACTTCACTAGACCTTGCACATAGAAAATTATTGCCGGCACTACTAGCCCTATTGAAATCATAGGCACTTCTCTCTGTTTGAGGACTAACAGGTATTCATTTGTGCGTATAAGATGTGCATGTTACCATAGGTGCCCCTAATACAACAACATCCCTTTTGAATGCAGTGCCTTCCTCTTATCCCTCTAAAACCCAACATAACCGTCTGTCTAAAGCATTGTAATGAATTGATTTTTACTTGCATGAAGAATAAATCACCCTGATATTTCTGACCTTCAACTTTTCTCCCCTAGGATTGATTGATCGTTAATAAGGCTTGTGGAAAGCACATAAGGCACATCCCTCTGAATATTTCAGTTAAAATTGGATAAATGCAGGTAAAAGGAAGACCTGTAGATTGATCTGCAGAATAGCTAACGTAACCAATGTGCTCGAACCTAGATAAAATTTATTATAGCTACTCACTTCATCCAAAAAGCATGAATCGTCTTCATGAATTCCTCCAAGATCAGGGATGCCATCATCAGATATCCACAGCACCTACTCATCTCAAGAACATTAGTAACCAGACCTTTGCTATGAAATAAATCAGCGGATATCTAAAGCAGAGTTAAAGATTTCAAAGTCTCAAGTGGATACCACAAATTTTTCATGAGAAAATATGATTTCATCAAATCCCAACTACTTAAAATATGATTTCATCAAATCCCAGCTATTTAAATTAATGGGTTATGGGTCTCATCCTTGACCAGAGAACAAAAGTGACATTCTGTTTAAATCATAACGAAATAATTGACTTCTTTTCTATTAGATTATACCTGAAGCATCTGCCTAAAGAAATGGAAAAGAAAAGACATGCAATATGCTGGAGATAAGATACCTGTTGCTGATCGTGCAAGGCTCTAGAAAAGAATACATCAGCGGTATGAAGTAGCCAATCAAGTTCAAAATTCGCTAAAGGTATCTGTTACAAAGTTCATTATAAATTATTATTTCAGGAATGTTTACAGAAAATTAAAAACAACTTGCAAGGGTAAAGGATTGATGGGATGATATAGTACATGTGCATATTTAGCAAGCGCTATTCTCTCTTTCAACCATTGGGATGATGCAGCACATCGCTGCATACCTATTTTAGCAGCTATAATCTGCCATCCAAGAGCCTGCAGAAACAGTAAAATATGGAATAATGAAAATACATGCTACTAACTAAATCATAATAGTAGTAAGACAAGGATTCAGCAAGAAAAATCCAATAAAACTCAAGTACCTGGTACTGGTTGTCACGAGCATTACATGGAATGGTGACACAAGGGAAATCATCCAAAACTGGTAAGTGTGACTCTAATGTCTGCATATTTGGACACTCTATAACACCAACAGTAGGCCTAGGATGTTCATGCCTGTCAAAGGAAGATACTGTGACATTCTGGGATAGATTAAAGATGCAAACTCAGAAGTAACAATTATAGTTCCATATAACAAGTGCTAAATAGTCTGGATTTGAAGCTTTGTTGACAGCATGCTAATATATAACGTGCTGTGCATATTTGAAATATACACAAGTTTCTTGGGAGCACCAAACTCCAAAAAGCAAAGAAATATTAGCTTCCCTACACTTCGAAACTCGTTTTGTGCAACTTAAGTACAATGATCAAAGTTCAAAACGCGGAAGCGGCTGTCTAGGCGGTTTGGGGTCTGAACCACCTAGGTGTTAAGGCAGCCACCTAGGCGGCCACCCAGACCCAAAGGAAGTCAGTGTTGTCTTTTTTAAAAAAAGTTGGCTCCCCCACACCTCCCCCCATTTTATTGCATATAGAAATTTTTATTTAATAAGTTTTGTATATAATATATTTTTAAGATGTCGGAAGTACAGATCAAACATAAATATTTACGATTTTAGACTGTAAATGAAATAATTATAATTGAAAACCAACATTAAAAGATAAAATCAACTCGAGATGTCCTTTAAATCTCGGAAATCACAAGCACTCACAGAAGTTTCAAAAGTCATTAAAAAAAGGTCAAAAAATAAATCTAGGTAAAACATACACATGAAAATTGCAATAATAAAACACAAAATCGAAAAAATATATTACACATGCAATTATTTAATAAGCAATAAGCAACCATTAAACTAACTAATAAAAAATTATGGGGAGAAAAGTTAAGGTTTATTAATCATACAAGTAAATTCATATATAAAACGAAAAAACAAGTAAAAAATAAGATTCATTCCATTTGGAGGCAATGGACTTTTTATTGCATTGTTTTCCCAAAGAACCAGACTACATATCAAAAAGGAAAATAATAATACAAATAGACAATAACATATCTACTATATATCACAAAGTATCACACAAAAAAATACAAATGGCAAAGAATAACATCATTAGACAATGTGGGGGAAAAAAAAATAACCTAATAAAAACTGTTGGCCAACCTTCTTGAAGTGGATTCCATACCGGTCCAAACCGAAATGTTTGGGTTCTTAAATCTCCTTTTTTACAACCACTGTAAGCCTCAAAAAGATTGGCGATGAATATCCTTTAATATCGTGACCATTCGAGGTCGTCAAAAAAATTTTGATCTCTAAACAAATCTACAAATCAAGTTTTTTCAAGTTGTTTCTCACTCTGAATATTTTTGGGGGCAAGAATGGCCCTCCAAACCCATTTCCCCCCTTTTAGGAAGTAAAATTACAATTTTACATGTTTCTCGAGTTTTTTTTTCCGCCAAGGGTCGACGCGGTGCAGCCGCCTTTTATACCACCTAGGCGGGCGCCTAGAAGAACCCACCTAGAACAGGCCGCCTTGCCCACAACTAGCCATTTTTTAAAAAAGGCCACCTAAGAGGCAAGGCGGCCGAATTTTCATTTATTACCCACGATAATAGTGCATCCAATATCCAATGTTTGAAAACCTATCAATCTGGATCGGGAATCACCAATCCAGACCAAAAATCAGCGAGGACACCAATTCTAGGAAGTAATCGTTACCAGCCCATTCTCCTCTCCCTTGGTGGTGCCCCCAAACCAAATAAGCAAATACAATAAGTACATGTTTTTCTTAATATTCATTTTTTTGCGATCGGCGCTCTCGAACCAAATAAATAAATAAAATAAGTAAATATGTTTTCTCAATATTTATTTTTTTTCCTGATTGACAATTTGGATTAGAGTTCCAGCAATCCAGCATGGATCTGGGAGGCACACGATCCACCCCACTGATCCATGTTTTTAAATACTGATGCAAACACTACTAACTATGAGCATAGGCTGCTAAAGAATAATGCTATATAGTTACATGACAAAGATACAAATAGAGGGATCATATAATTTCCAGTGACAGATTCAGCTTGAAAATTGCATATCCGTTACAAAATCAGTTGAGGAACATGGTGTGCAGAATAAACCTGAACTCAGTTAAAGCTCCTTGCAGAAGCCTTTCTGCATCTTTTGCATTACCCACATAGTCAACCTAAAAGTCACAGTTTACACTTTCTTTAGAACAACTGCAACTAGAGTAAAGAAAATAAAGAAAAGCTGTATCTTGAAAAATAAAAATATACCTTGATTATGACACTGCTCCCAGGTAATGAAGGTTCACATGATAGTACTTGACATGCTTCACGAAATTGCTTTTCAAGCAGATTTGAAGACAACTCTTTGTTTTGGAAAGGGTTCACAACCACGACATGTATATTGCTTGAAGCAGGGGTATATACAACATACATAGCCCTTGCTTCAGACATGCTGAAATCAATAGCCATCAAATGCAAGTATAAACATCCAATGCTTGCAGTTCCTTGGAAAGAACAGTGAAGATCAATGTAGAATATCCAGCATGCGAGTGTAAGTAGGAAGAATGCAATTGAAAAGGAAGCTGCCATCTTTTTGTATTCCTATTTTGTATTACTGGATTCCTCATGTATCAAAAGAAGAAAAACATAAAAATGCAATTATGAAAGGTAAAGCACCTGTGATACAAATAAAAGAAAGAAATGGGCTGCTCCAGATAAGGGCACTCTGTAGTAGTCTTCATATGCAATTCATCAAGACGCCAACCATCTTGAATGCTCCTGTTTTGAGCAGTTTTATCAACCTTGCATACACAGCCAATCTGAAGGATGGCGCTATATTCTAGTGGCATCTTTGTTTCATATATTCCCTGTCCAAGAAAACCATCTTTGTTAACAAATGGACAACCCTGGAGTCTACAATTAATCAAAAACCATGATTAAAATCACACTTAATATGAATAACAAAATAAGGCATGAATAGGCTCTCTGTGACATATTCATTAGGATTGTGATTGAGTGTAACTCAAAGTTGTATGGAGCATGGACCAATCTACTTTGAAAAGTTTGACAAATACCAATCCTTAATAGAAGTTTTGTGCTCGCATACTGCTAAGGAAAAAGAGTGCCAACAACAGTACATGATAATACAGAACGGAAACATATGTCTATGTTCCACCAAGCAAGATATGGAAACAAGCTTTAGGAAGCCCACAGGAGTCAAAAAGACCTTTTATTCTTCTTATTTTATTCTATAGTAGAGATAGTCACACATAGTGTTTTAAAATGCGAGATGCGGCCAAAAGCGGTGGGGGGGCTGATGCAGCCCGGATGCGGGTGCATCGCGACGATGCGGTCAACAAATGTAAAAAACATTTAAAAATTCTAAAAAAATAGGCTAATGCATAGAAAAAAATAAGGAGGTGATATATGTGATAGTAGGTATTTTAGTCTAATGATTAACTTCAAAATTATTAGCTGTAGGAGATTATGTATCCAGTTATCCACTATCCCCTGATAGAAACTACAAACTTGAAACTAGCTTCATAAAACATTCAACAATCAACAACTATAAGCACAAATTTGCACTATAAGCACAAATTTGCACCATAAGCACAAAAGCACAACCATCAACACCCATAAGGACAACCATAAGCACAAAATAGTGATATTACAAACCAAAAGTCAAGCTCAAGAAGAGTCAATAGTTAATAACTTAATACAATCATCCATTTTGAGAGTAAATTTTTCAAATATCAATCAGAGAAGTCATCTTGAGAGTCGTCATGTGCATCATCAATATTATCCTTGACGGCCTCCATGTATTCTTCTTCCTCGGTCTCCTCTGAGTCAGCTTCCTCCTCGACCTCTGAAGTTAATGTGCGAGTGCGATTAGACCCAACAGCTCCTCTATTTCTTTGTGCTCTAGTGTTAGGTCGATCTTCTTCATTAGCCCCTGTTGCTAGCTCGACATCAAGCCATGTAAGATCCTCACCCTCAAAAACACACTCTTGTCTAGGATCCATAGTCCACTCACTTGTGGAATTACCATCATACAATTGAATAGGATTGAGCTTCATGCGATTTTCATATCTCTCCCTAAGCCGTTTATTATACCGCACATAAACCAAATCATTCAACTTTTTCTTCTCCAACCTATTTTTTTGTATGGAGTTGTGGTAGAAAATTGAAAATAGATAAACTAGAGTTTAGAAATTTAGATTAGAAAATTAAAATTCAAGAAATAAGGATTAAGGAATAAGGAGTAAAGGATTTACATGCTCAAATGCACTCCAATTGCGTTCACAACCAGAAGAGCTACATGTGAGATTCAACACTCGAATAGCGAGACGTTGTAGATTTGGTGCCTCACTTCCATATAATGCCCACCATGCAGTTGTATAATAATTTATAATTTAGATTATAGATAAACAAATAAACAATGGAACTATACATAAAGTCAGAGACAAGTAAGGTTACTTTGGGCCTTTATCTGGATCTGTAGTGTCCCAATTTAGAGTAGCAATATCTGTCCCAAAGTTTCTCAAGACTAACTTGAACTTAATGAATTCATGGCTTTGGATCTCATCTTGGATATCTCTGTCAAGCACCAACCTCTCAAGCACATCTAAGAACCCACCATTTATTACACGATCTGACTCAATGGATGGGAGCTTGTAGTAAAGAGATGAGTTTAGAAAATAACAGGCTGAATGGAGGTGCATGTGAAACTGGGGATCGCACCTCCTATCAACAATTTCAAGTAGAACCTTGCGCATAGTTTCATCATCCTTTAAAACATCCTTTATTTCAGCTCTTTCCCTAATCATTGCCTCATGTAAGTAGCCCATGGCGGGCTTCGCATCACCATCAACCAGTCGAAGCACTCTCACTAAAAGACGAGACACCTCCAATGCAATAATTATTTGACTTCAAAAAGATGTATTCAGAATAATTTTTTCAGCCTTTCTACTATCCTTATACTTTGACCATTTGCTTTGACTCCATTGCTCTAAAGCAAAGATGGTCCTCAAGGCATTTTTTTGCTTGGTTAGGCTTCAAAGAGTGAGAAATGACATGGCAAATCTAGTGATACCCGGTCTCACTAATTCTCTCTTCTTTGTAAAAGACCTCATCATGCTTAGGACAATGGTGTGATTGTAAATAAATCCAACAACAAACATAGCTCTTGAAATCACCCCACTAAATAAAGATGTTGTACCCATTTCCTTAAGCATAAGATTAACACAGTAAGCTGCGCAAGGAGTCCAAAACATATGCGTCTTTTCAAAGTCAATAAATGTCCAGCTGCAGCGCAATTGGCACCATTGTCAGTGACAATTTGTACCACATTTTGCTCTCCAACAAACTCGACAATCTCATCCATAAATGCACATAAATATGTAACATCTTGTGACTTGTCTGATGCATCAACAGACTTAACAAAAAAAGTACCTGTTGGGCAGTTAACCAAAAAATTAATGAATGCCTTTAACTTCCCATTGGACAAACCATCACACATAATAGTGGCCCCATATTTCTCCCACCTTTCTCTCTGAGAAATCAAAACTTTATTCACATCAAATACAACATCCTTCAACAAAGGCTCCCTAACCTCATCTAGTGAAGGAGGAACAAGTCCTGGGCCATATTGCTACCTGGACCATACATGCAAAACTATCCAGAGTTATAGTATTAAAAGGAATGCCGGCCATGTAAATCCACTTTGCAATCCACGTACATACCTACTTCCTCTGTTCTTTCTTATATTTATTTTCAATTGTGGATTGTTTTGTTTTTTTCTTTCTCTTCTGAACCACAATTTCAAGGTTAGGGGTGAAAAAAGCATCAATTGGCCCCTTAGAGAGAGGTGTTCTTCTCTCAACACTACCACCGACATTTATAACCCTCTCTCTTGAGGTTGGAGAATAAGTACCCCTTTGCCTCATAGCAACTTTAGACATATCATCATCATCATCATCAAATAATTGCATATCATCAAGTAATTCTTTTCTTTTCATTTTTTTCTTCTCTTTATCTTTTTTCATTCTATCCAAATATTCTTTAATCTCGTTTTTTATATCATCTGTAGCTTGTGGGCATGCTCTTACATTCCTGAAAATTCTGGCCAGATGCTCTTTTTGTCGAAAAATACGACCCATATAAGTATTTCCACAAAGCAAGCATATCACACAATTTCTATCTTTCGGATTTTTTAGTTTAGCATATTTCCAAGCTCGATCCTTATTACTAGAACCTTGGGAAGAAGACATTACCCCAAAAATAAGTATAACAGTATTATTGTACAAAAAGGAATAAAAGTTTACCGACTCTGTGAAGCATTGCTCGATTTCTTCACGGCCTCTTAAACCCCCAATTTCTTATCACAAATTCACCGTAACATCCTCAAATCAACAATCAAATGCATCAAATGAACATCCAAGTATCAAACAACCGCCAAATCGAAGATTTGAATGAAAAAAAAATTCTTCCAAATTTTTTTTCCCTTGATTTGTTTCAAAAAAAGCCACAAAAGTGGCTGAAAATCTTCGTTTAGGCAGTTTAATACCCCCCCCTTCCAAAAGTTTCTCTATGTTTTGGATGGTCAAAAAAACCATTTTGCCCCTCCTCGAGGGGCAAAATCGAAAACAGAATTGACGGTAGGAGATGCACCGCGATGCGGGGAGATGAGGGATGCGGCTACGATGCGGCCTGATGCGGCGCATATGCGCCAGGTTGCATACCGCATGATGCGGCCGCATTTTAAAACCATGGTCGGACATAATGACAGATCACGGCCATATTAGTAGAAGCTTGAGGTAAGAATGGATTTTGCTGTAATGCCCAGAAATAGCTTTCCAAAGCCTTCATATGTTCTTTGTTGCTTATGTGGATAAGCCTATATTATAGATTATATAACTTCGGTCATAGGGATTAATTTCTGGCCACATAGCTTTAAAATAGTTCTGTAAAGCTTCCACATAATTTCATTCAAATTAAGCTAACATCCTTATGGTTGCTCACTAAAAGGATCTTTGTTCCATAACCGTACGTGAAATTTGCATCTCACATGGCTCCTCCCCTTATGTGCATAGTAATAAGACAAATAACCCATAGAATAAAGATAGATTCAAATATTTTCCTACTGGGTAGTAATGTCTCTTTGACATATCTGTCAGACTATAATAACTAAGATGACATGTAGCCAATGGCACTTTAGTCATATTTGTTGCATCAATGTCTGATCATTTCTTTTTTAGAAGAATCCATTTTTATTTGTCCTGAATATTGTGCAGCTATTTAGATGATTTACAAATACTATAACCTTATTTTCAGTCCTAAATAAAAAAGAAATTTGTTCTCCTAAACAGTAAAGTTTTTCTCTATTAAATCTCTGTGACAAGTTATTCCAGCAGCAACCATGAGTAAAAGAATCTCACATAATGGATATGAGGGTTAAAGATTATTGTAATAAATTGAGGAATTTAGGAACAAGGATGTGTTCATAATTCTGACCTCAACTTCTGGATCTGCCAAGTGAGCTGCAAGCTTCCTGGCAACAGCCTTGAATTGATACTCATCAACTTTCACCTGGAAAATGCAAGTTAATAAGCCATCCAACTGAACTGCGAAAATAAGAGAGGGAAATATCACTAAATTGGTCAAACCAACTTACAAAAATTAAGGTAGTCAAATCATCCTATTTAAGATTGAAAGTTTAGTATTAAAGTTACAATTCACTGAGGCACCTCTTAAAACAAAAATATCAAAAATAACAAAATTGCCCCTGTTCAGGATTAGAAACCCTAAACAAGCAAGGGGATTTTCGTAACATGGTGCCACTTAAGTCGCACAAGCCAAATGATAAAACCCTTGTTTGTCCAACCTTCCGAATCTGGAACATGTTTTTCATACTAAAATCTTTTGTTCAAGGTTCTTAAAACAGAACAAGCACATGTATGTTACCCCCTCTATTCAAGGATACCAAAATAGAATTCACTTTTTCATTGGAATTTATTCTCTTGAGTTGCCAAGTCTGAACAATGAGGGGTATTCTTGTCATTGCTCTTGAATCAAGCAGCATGATCAAAATGACGGTTATACCCCTGGTTATTCAGGTTTTGCAACACGAGACTCACTTTTCTTATTGTAAACCATTGTTTTGTTTCCTAATTTCTAACCTTGAACAACCAGGCGTATTCATGTTATTTGCTTCATGCCACATAAGAAGGGCCAAATTATCAAAATGCCCTTCCTTATTCAAAGGTCCCAAAACTTAATATGGGCAATTTGGTCATTTTTAACATATATTTTGAGGAGGCACCTGAATGAAATGAAATTTATACGGTAATCATTTTAACTAAGGGCTGCAATGGGCTGGGCCATGGCTGGCCCTAGCCTAGCCTGGTCCAAACAGAGCCAAAGGGACCTTAGCCCAGTCCCTACCTGTCGGTTGGTTAGGTGGGAAGCATCCTATTAATGGTTTGGGCTGGGCCGAGCCATATTGACCCTTGACCCAAGCCCTGCCCAGCCCCGCCACTGGGACTGGATTTAATGTTGGAGCCCGACCCTGGGGAAAAAGTTAGAGGCTTGACCCCATCCACAGGCCAAAAAAACAGGGGAGGGGGGGGGAGAGAGAGATTCACCAGGGAGAAAACAATATCTACCTCAATAAGGTTGAAGCTAGGTCTTCCATGAGGAAGAGTTAAAGTTACACGATTTCCTGGAAAGCCTTCTGTGATAGAAGCTCTAGTGTTGAGATAAAATGCTCTAGGAACTTTAATTGGAACCTTAAGCATGACACCTTCCACCACCACCCATGCAAAGAACTGCCCGAGTTGAGGGCTTGAAACAAGCTGTATTATCTGATCCAAAAGAGCATTTTGTTTTAAAGTGAGTACAAATAGAACTCAGGTATTCATTAAGAGAGTTAATCATACAATACTGCATATTTGCATATATACATAGACAAATCTACATATAAGAAAATAGATGTGTATATTTAGATAATTTACCTGCCAGTAGGAATGTAAAAGAGCTAGCTCACGACTCCTGAAGAAAGAACCAACACTGTTTCTCCCCAGCTCAGAATTTCGATTTTTAGTCCCAAAAGCTAATTCACGAGAGCCAGTTGTGGGATGCAACTGCTTTAAAGGATTCCCGAGCCTGGAAACCAATGATCCAGGAAAAAACAAAGTATTACCATCAAATTTATCTGGGATGTAACTAAGCCAAGTCTGAACCAAGTAATTTGAGAATCCACAAGGTCTCAATCAGTTGATTCAGAAGAGGATTATGTTGAGCTCCAAGTTGTGTCCGATCTTTAAGAGATTATTAAAATGACAGTAAGATAACTGAGGGATCCATCTTTATTGAAGATGAATATGAAAGAGAAGATAACATTAACTTGATTACAGTTACCTCTGCTTCTTCCGTTCCTCTCGAACATCTTTCCATTTTCTTTTTTTTGATGCAAGCCATCCTTCATAATCAACACTCCAATGAATGCTTTCAGCTAATGATGAATTTTGATTCAAACCAACTAGAGCTTGATGCTGCCTTTGCATATCGGATTGTTGCAGCACGTTATCAGAATTAAAAAGTTCTCCAGGAGAGTTTCCAACATTGTTTTGATAACAACGAACTATGGGGTGAAGCCCTTGGATGGCAATGTTTTCCTTATTCCCAATATCTTCCATATCCATAACAGCCTCATTGGTAGAATGACTTTTCTGCAGGTTTGCGTCTCTGTTAACTGTGTTGAAGATATCGCGTATGCTCTTCTGGCGAAACCTATCTTCCTTTTCACGAACCTTTCTGTGCAACCAATCAGGATGCATGACTCTTGAGACAGGGTTAGCAACCTGAAACGGTTTGCTCCCACATTATAAGGATAAAATATGATCTTCTCATCGATGACAAATCTGATTCAAACCCTTCAAAGTAATCCAATATTTAGTGTTACCTTTTGCATGGCTGCAGGAATAGTGATGATTTTTTGAATAGCTGAACTAAGACGTTGCCTATAGTAGGACCAATCAACAATCGACCTGATACCCACATCAGATGAGATCTTGCACCATTTCCTCACAAAAAATTTCATGTGCTCTGTTAAACAATGAACAACCTTAAAAAGTGGAGCTTAGAAAATTTCGGTTGGAATGGGAAACTCAAATTCTGAATAAGAAACAGAGATGACTATACCAGGATCCTCAAAAATAGCCACTGGGAGAGCTCGCTCACTTACTGGAGTTCCCTGCAAAGTGCATTTGGATGCCCATCAGTGAAACAGGTAAATAATTCGCAAAGCTTAGAAGAAAGGCAACCACGAATTCACAAAATTAGTGGATGTCTAACTCTATAATTACATGGCTTACGAAGAAAGAAAAGAACATTCAATGCAAATAACAGCATACAAGCTTAACGAATACGAAAGATAAGTGTTACTTAATGATATATATGTAAGAACTCAATTCATCTATAGAACTAGAAATATAGCATCCATATTGCAGTTAGCAATTTAATGTGGTGTCAAGTCAGTTAGATAGAGAAACAAAATGCTCCATGGCGAATTCAAATGAAACGATTTGCGGGGAAAAGGAAAATAAGGAAAAACAATGTACAAGTCAAAACCATCCGGGATTACGTTTGGAACAGGGCATCTTGGATCATGACAATAGGAAGCTCCCTATGGTAGGGATTGCTGTCCTTAACCCTGAAATTTAGGTATATCATTTCCTATATGTGGGAGAGCCTAGTCCAAACTTAATCTGCATTGGATAATAAGCTATATAGAGCCAAGCTCCACCTGGCTTAAACCCAGGCCCCCAAGAGCAGTTAACTAGTATAGTACTACTATACTATATCACACTGCTATACAATAATAAACTGCTATACTACAATACCACACTATATAACTATATATAAATTTCATCATCATCATCATCATCCGAACTTTGTCTCAACTATTTGGGGTCCGTTATATGAATCTTGTTCCGTCATTCTGCTCAATGAAGGGTCATACCTTCAGTAAGACCATATGCCACCATATAGGTTCAGGATTCATGACAAGATTCAACAAAGTTTTACGCTGGCTACCCTACCTAAAACAATTGTTCTCCTATACCCGGGCTTAGGATCAGCTTGACCGACTTGGGGCCAACCAAGAGTTTGAATGCTATATTTAAATTTACCACATAATTTTATTTTTTACAACTATATAATATATACAATAGTATATAGTACGTGCCACAATGCCTTACTATATTGTATTGTTATATTATTCTACTATAGTAGTCCACAATGGGAACACAATGAGAACATAGCGATAAAAGGAACTGTTGGTATAAATAAGGGCGAAGGTCATAGATACATTCGTAGGATTAGGATGTCAGAAGTGAAAGAAGCTTAAAAAAGATGAAGATAGGAAAGGCTTTAGGACCATAAGGTATTCCGATAGAAGTTTGGAAGTGCATGGGGGAGATTGGCATTGACTCGTCGAAGAAGTTGTTCGACAAGGTGCTGAGAACAAAGAAAATGCCAAACGAATGGAGGAAAAGTATTGTTGTACCTATTTACAAGAACAAAGGAGACATACAGAATTGTGCGAATTATCGAGGGATGAAGCTTATGAGCCATACTATGAAGCTTTGGGAGAGATTGATTGAGCAACAACTATGAAGCTTTAGGAAAGGCTTTAGGACCATAAGGTATTCCGATAGAAGTTTGGAAGTGCATGGGGGAGATTGGCATTGACTCGTCGACAAAGTTGTTCGACAAGGTGCTGAGAACAAAGAAAATGCCAAACGAATGGAGGAAAAGTATTGTGGTACCTATTTACAAGAACAAAGGAGACATACAGAATTGTGCGAATTATCGAGGGATGAAGCTTATGAGCCATACTATGAAGCTTTGGGAGAGAGTGATTGAGCAACGACTAAGGCATGAAACAAGTGCATCTGAAAACCAATTTGGTTTTTCACCAGGAAGTTCAACAGTCGAGGCTATTTTATTATGTAAGCAACTGATTGAGAAGTTTAGAGTGAAGGGAAGACCTAGAGAAAGCATATAATAGAGTACCTCGAGATTTGATTTGGAGGGTGTTGGAAAAGAAATGAATCTCTAAACACTACATCGATTTGGTGAGAGATATGCACGATAGAGCGCTAATTAATGAGCAAACAACTAGTGGAGAGACGAGAGCTTTCAATGATAATAGGTCTACTTCCAAGGTCAGCATCGACCCCGACTTCTGTCTTACTTATGGACGACTAAACTAAGCACCTGCAGGATGAGCTATCGAGGTGCATGTTGCTCGCAGATGACATAGTTTTGATCAATGAGACCCGAAACGGCGTCAACACAAAGTTAGAACTTTGGAGGGATGCTCTAGAATCCAAAGGTTTTAAACTTAGCTGGACTAAGACAGAGTATATGGAATGCAAGTTTAGTAATAATAGGAGTAGAGATGAGGAAGTAGTTAAGATTGGCAGTCATGAAATACAAAAAAGACCGCACTTTCGATACCTTGGGTCAATAATCCAGGAAAATTGAGAGATTGAAGAAGATGTTACATATAGAATTAGAGCTGGGTAGTGAAGTGGGGATGTGCAACTGGAATTTCATGTGATCGCGGCATACCAATGAAGCTGAAGGGTAAGTCTTATAGAATAGCTGTGAGACCAGCTTTGCTTTATGGGGCAGAATGTTGAGCCGACGGACAAAAAACAATATACCCATAAAATGAGTGTAGTGTACATGAGGATGTTGAGATGAATGAGTGGCAAGACAAGAAGGGATAGATTCCGAAATGAATCCATTCGAAGAAGTTTAGGTGTGAACCAATAGGCGATAAGATGAGAGAGAGTAACTTAGGTGAGCTAGCCATGTGTGGTGTCGACCTAGTACAACACCTGTTAGGAGGTGCGAGTTAGCTCAAGTGAAAAGATTGAAAAGGACAAGGGTTAGGCTCAAAAGGACGTGGTTGGAAGTAGTCCGAAAAGATATGGGGACTTATGGCCTCACTGAGGGTATGGCCTTAAATAGAGCAGAATGACGAACCAGGATTCATGCAGCTAACCCCAATTAATTGGGAAAAGAGGCTATGATGATGATGATAATAGACCACATTGCTATACTTTATTATGCCATACTTCTACACTATACCACAATGCTAGAGAATCTGGATCCATTGTAACTTAGATATTAATCCCTAATAGGAAGTATCGCGATTCCAAAGTTTAAAACCCGCAAAGAGCAAGATTCCTTCCCAGGAGCACAAGAGCAAGATTTAGAAGCGAAATCAACCCCTTGTTTGAAAGATCACTGTAACTCCAGCTAAAACCATAATGCCCAAGTATTTACATACACAAAGACCTTACATAGATATAAATAAGGAACGAACTGCTTAGCAGCATTGAGAGCAAGGCAACATTGAGCACCAACACTTTATTTCAAATTACGAACATATTTGACAATCCAATTGCTCATCTCACTAATTATCAACTTAGAATACAGTACTTTTCACCAACAAAAAGAATGGAAACATATACAATGAGAGCACCCTTTTATTCGTGTAGTACCATCACACAACCCCGTACGAATGTGATGGACTTTGAGTAGAGGAATCACACATCCCAGCCACCCGTGTTGACATCTGATGACTAGAAATGGTATAGAGGAGTGTTTAAAAAGTTCTACGAATACAATCCTTAAAGAAAGGGAGCTCCTTCATTCCAATAAAAAATAGATAAAAACTTTATGAGAAGTTAAAATCCATGTAAACGTAGGAAGAGCATCTAACGGTCACAGCTGAAAGTGATCATACATTATCATGCATCCTGCAAGTTCTCAACAGGAGCTTCAGCAAAGGATAAAGCTCATTTTTGTGTGCTCAACTACCTATTCATACAAATATTCCAATATAAATCCAAGAAATGTATGTAGAGAGACCATTTACTTTTTGTAAAAAGAAGTAACAATCATTATCAATCGTTAGATGTAAAATCGGGCAACCGGAGGCATGTCATTAATTATACACAAAGTTCAAAATATAGTTCCTTGAACTATGTGATACACTTTAAGCTGTCAGATTTCACATCTGACTACAGGTGATTGTGACCTTCTTGTACCAAAAGTGAATGGTCTTATAGTATACAGTCCCATAAATTAAGCCACCAAATGGTGCTTGTTTGGGGCAATATTGGTAAGCAATCCAAGTCTATCTACATGGGCCAGATGATACACTACACATTACAACATAGAGCATGCCCAAATTTAAGAACACAATCAGACATTCCACGGTTAAAATTACAAGCTAATCTACAATAACAGAATATACGCCTTTAATTACAGAGAAAGTAGCATAAGAAAGAAAGGACCATGCTTTGGATCCAATAATGAACAGAAAAATCAAATTTCATACTCTAGGTTCACAAGAAACAATATATTGGCAACGCAGCCCCTTGTCTTTGACCATCGCATCTCCAAGAAAGTCAGCAAGCCGTCTAGCAGTGGTCACAGCACATGACTTCTGCTCCCCATAGTCTGCCAAAGATTTGCTCATAGTGCTCGACTCTGATATGTAATCAAGTAACTCGCTATCCGCAATATCTATTCCTTGATTCTACATAAAGAGTACCAGACAAACAGATTTTCCCCATTAAAAAAACATTGATTGAAGTACACTCTAATATAACTTCGATGTCTCAAATCAATAAACAAAATTGCACTATTGCTGGAAACCAAGAAAGGGATGAAAGCCCTATATTAAATTTGGAAGAAAACATACATCCAGAAGATCCAGCCAACGGTTGGCCACAGATGCTACTGCTGCATAGCACTCATCCAAGGTTGTTCCATGCAGGAACTTATCAAAAACCTCAGCCTGTCATTAGCGTCAAAATTTACCATATTCAGAACTCAGTAACTACAAGTATAAAGTTTTCAGAACATCAAAGTGTAAGGATTTTCCTGAACTCGGTAACTACAAATATATAGTTTTCAGAACATCAAATTGTAAGGATTTTCCCGATGGAAATTTTTTTTCTCACCATTTATCAATAGGTCCTATGTAAATTAGACAGTCAGTATTAATACGTTAAAGTTTAGGGGAAGATATTGTAGCCATTGTGTCTATTAGGAAAAAAACAAAAAAAAAAAAAACCTAGACAAATAAAGTAGAAGAACGGAAACAACCCTCCAAAATTGAAAGCCAGGTGAAAATATATAATCTATAGAGGCTAGTCACCAAGTTTTTAATAATCACAAACATAACATGCAACTCTCTAACAAATAGTGTATGAGGTGTAAATATGGTATAATCACTAAAAATGTGGATGTGAAAGTACAAGTGTCTATGAAACTTAGATACTCATGCATCCAACATACAGGTGGCGACATGATATGGTGCCAAAACTGACACCAGATATACCTAGCGTACTTTTTAATATAAAACAATACAAATTTAACAATTTAACATGAATAAAATATAAAATTATGCATGATATTATGATACAAGATACATACAAAGTAAAATATCGAATGTAAAGCACAATTTGAATATTTTAAAGTATTTGGAACTTGTAAAAATATGCTATAACTATTATACAGTCAAAGAACAAAAATAAACCAAGAAGCAGGCTTACATAGATATAAAATACGTACCTGGAAAACTTTAATGAGCTTCAATTCACCACGGCGTTTAATCTCAAAACCTTTAAGCTCCGCCAATGTTCCATCATCATTGAATACAGCATAACGCTTTTTAATTAAAACACCTTCTTCTTTGGAAGCCGGTAAAATCATTGCCTGTTAAAGTTAACGCCAAGTAAATACAACTCAGGCATGCAAAATGAACTCAATACATTAGACAATAAGTTAACCAATAAATTACGTAATCACCTTATATGGCCCATCAACTTCAAACATTATCGAACATTCGCTATGAGTTGTGTATGTCTTACTAACAGGATCTGTAAGTGTCTGAATATTTAAAAAAAAAAAAAGGCTAATGAATTATTTCACATTCATCAGCATTCATCACAAGATATTAAGATAACAACCTAAGGTTAAAATTTACCATCAACTCACAGATTTAGATTGATGGAAAAAGAAGATACAAATAATGTAAACAGGCAGTAATGCAGAAAGTATCAGCTTAGGCAGGATGTGGATGTGAACATCACTATCACCTGATATTGATCATTAGTGTTGTTTCGTGCGACATCAGCATTGAGCATAACACAGGGATACGAAATTGTCAGCTTTCTCTTCAAATCTCTGGAAAAGAAAAATACATTACTGGAGTGCAAACAGTATTCATCATCAGAAAGCATCAAAACCCCAATAACTACAGGTGAATATTGACAAAAACGAAGTTTACATGAAAGCTCAAGCAAGCAGCTAACAAAAGCTTTCTTAACTTGACTACGGATATTCTTGCTATCAAAAAAAATACATGGAGAGATAAGAGTAACAATTTTTTGCGGCTTGGACAACCATTTGCTGAAAGTGAATGACGTTTTATTGGATAACCCAATCAGCTCATGCAAGACTACAATCTTCAATCCGATGAGAAATGCATTCCAGCTAGAAGGGCACGGAGTAACAGTAATAATTTAAAACAATGTTTAGTTCAAAACGAGCAAATGTGTAGAGATGTTATAAGTTGTGAGATACATGAGTGGGAGGCTAGCTGCCCACATAATGTAGACATTTTGGTGATGCTTTTGAATTGCCATTAGGCAATTTTATTTTGTGCTTTACCTTTAATGACATTAACTGAAAAAAAAAAAAAAAAGAGGGTCAGGAAAAACTTATAGGAGTGCAAAAATATCATGACCTGGAAAAGATCGTATCATTTAAAATCAAGATTATTGTATCCATTGATCATTAGGATGCAAGAGAGAAAAGATTACTTCGTTTTAAATGTAAAATTCTCTGGGAACGATCCAGGAAGAGCACACCAAATGCCATCAGTGTCTAGTTCCAAAGGCCTACCAATCCTTTCAACAAGCAAGCGAGCATTTTGGATGATCTTTGCACCAGTATATGTGACTACTCCAGCCATTTCCATCGAATACCATCTTGCTCCCCTAGATAAAATCGTATACTCAAAAATAAATGAGAAATACTAGTTATCAGAATCTGTGATTGAGCACAATGCACAATGAAGTGATAAAGATGGCGCACAACGGGTAGTAAAAGAAACTTACTTGCGCATGACATATCCATAAAAGGAGTTTAGGATACACTTGTGAGCCAACTGTAGAGAGTCAAAAAGAACCACCATATCCTGCCATTGCAAAGGGGAAAAAGGGATTCCAAAAAAGTCTACATTCAACAATGAAATCTTAGTTTTGAAAATGAAATATTATGAACATGTTTCAACTAAATGAAGATTTCACATTTTAACCTGAGCTTCCTGGATTTTCATGGGATTTCCACTGGCCTTTGCCTCAGCTAACTTCCCTTTCCACACCTTATTCCGATCTTTGTATTCATACCTTCTGTCTCGGAAACTGAAAAAATACAGAAAGTGCCAAGAAACGTATTTAATAAACCACATTTTGGAGTGCACCAAACACATGCATTAGTACATGAGTACATATGAACTCCTTATAAAAATAGGGTAAATCCAGTGAAAGGTTTAGGAAAACAGACCTGCGTACAGTATCAACATAGAAAGAATTCTCTCGCATGCATATACCTGCTTCCCGGAGCTCAGTAGCTGGCTTATCAATCACCCTTTTGTATACCTATCCAAGGCACCCAATATGAGGTTAAGGATTGGCACTCGTATGAAAGGAGTATGCTTAGAGCAACAAGACATTTACTTTCTGACAGTATTTCTTTAAACGCTCCCTGAACTTTGACTGTTGCTCTGCTTTAGGGAGGTCACAAAAAGACTTCATTGACTGACCATCTCCATCATCTACCAGCTCTGATTCCATTTGCTGCTTCAGATGATAATATTCACTAATACAAGGACCAATAAAGTTCCAATTTTAAAATGTTGGAAGTTCTACCAAATGACAGCAAACCATATTAGAAAAAAAAGGGTACAATATAATATAAAAGACTAAAAGAAGCCATAGTCCATTGGGTCATCACAATCACTGAAATGATGGATGGTGATGGCGAGAGGGACACCATTTGGGATATATCTAGTTTTGGTAGGTCCAACCCTCTCTCTCCCACTGTCTTTCAGTTCAGTGGGTAGTGATCACTCAATGCACAGTGGTTCTTCCTTTGTGCATTGGTTTATAATATACGTCCCCCAGAAAATAACTATGAAACCTTCTCTTTGCCATGAAGGTCTCTCCACGCCAAACCCATTCAAGGTTTCGAAGGCAAGTTTTCCCAGGACGATTGAAATCACAAGCTGTGCAGACCTCATCCGTGACTATTGATGGTGGCTGACATAGCACATGCAAAAACCTCAATCCTTGAATGACAAAGCTACAAGGAAGATGACACTATCTACGTCTTCAGACATTGGAAGTTATATTAAATGCCTAAAAATATAAAAGGTCTAGAGATATGACACTGTGGCAGACTAAATATCACAAGCAAATGCGGATTCAGCTAAGTGTCAGTCATAGACAAATGTAACCATTGCAACCACATGCTGGCAAATAATAAACGCTACAGATGATATGCAAAATAAAACATGCCTCGCCAGAATACAGCAAAAAGCATGTGTCAATAAAATCAAAGAACTGAGCTCAACATAATACTCTTAAAACAGATCATAACAAATGGAAGAAGTAGACGACAAACTTCTGCTATGGTTTTGTAATCAATTTGTAGAGCTATGCCAGTCTTGAGGTGGGAAAGGGCCTTACTAGGCATCAAGTGTGAGTTTGAAGAGCAATCCAGCCAATTTTTTACACAGGTTGAAAGGATAAGAGAGGGATTTGGCCGTTGACGGACATGTGGTAGATGTGGCAGAACTCCTTGTTGAGGCACGTTATACTTATGGGAGGACAATATCGATTATATGTTAAGACCTTTAAATTTTGACAAAATTTCACAATGGGCATCCAACAATGCATATTATTTGTATGTGTTTGTGCCTGAGTGTTCTCTCATATTTGCAAATGAGAAACATTTCAGAATGTGTACAGGAGATCTACTCATGAATTAGAGCGTATATAAATTGAAGTGGCCGTCCCCGGATAATAGATGGCGACAAGCACAAGTTCACAACCAACAAAAGAACTGATCAAAGAGCAATAAAATGCAATAATAAGAATGAAAGCCAAGGCTTATACAAACTCCCACCTGAAGCCTATTGGTTAAAATAATATTTGGATACATTGCTGCAACATCTAAATGATAAATAAGCGGGCTCTCTTCTCGCACTGATTCATCACGCAAATTTACAAGCTGCACAAAACAGGAACAGAATACACAAGTAAGAAGTAAAGCCAAGACTATTAATCTGTAAAAGTAATGCATAAGCATTTTTAATTCTAGAGGTATAGGACAAGTTTCAGAGATGCATGTGAAATAGCTCTAGTGAAATGATTGTAAAACCATCTTCTGTTTAAAGTTCAAGTCATCCTCCTGTACAAATGCAAGAAAAAGAGAAACAAACATGCACGCACGCCCATCTGTCCCCTTTCCCACCCAACATATACACACACAAAATTACTCCACATCCTTCCACTTCAGGTTCAAAACCACAAACCACAGATTACCATGTGTAGAGAGAATCTGGACAAACCATAGAGATAAATGTATTCATCAAGGTTAAAAAAAGAAAAATATTTTGGAGAATAGATGCAAACCTTTTCCATGATAGCATTCTTCACATCATCATAATTGGATATTGAATCCAAATCCATCTTGCCTTCAACTTTTATAGCATGCTGGAGATCTCGATCTAGGTTGGAGATCAATTGCTGAAAATTACATGTAACAAAAATTATCACCCATCAGAGATGAATTTTTTCAGACCGGAATATGTGCGAATTAATAAATAATTGAGTTCAGCCTCAATAAAAAAATATGTAAATGGCCATAGGTGCATAACTGGTCTGTATGCTTGAATAATAAAGAACAAAAGTAGAAAACAATACAAACAATATGCAGCATCAGATGCTTCGCATAGTGAACAACCAAACACAAACTTATTTCACCAGTAGCTCCCAGTCCCACAGTTGCCCTCAAGCTACGCATGTTTGACGAACCATAAATTTCAGAATTAATAAGTCAACATCTATACTCCCCCTTGAGCACAAAATAACTACTAGAGAATACAATATGTGAAGAAAATAACGAGACATGAAAGTTTATAATGTAATAACCTCATATGCAGATGAGTCGAGCCGAAATTTTGTGGGAAGGTCAGACCTGAAAACTCCACTTTCCAGGCACTCAACATGCCCACCAATGTAGGTTTCACTCTCCAGAAGTCGACTGTTATAGAACTTCTCAGGCTCCTCTTGGTGCTTATTTGGACAGATGACATTCGCCTTATAAGCCTGTAGAGTTGTCAATGCAATGTAAAGAGACATCATGAGCATAAGTAAATATAGTGAAGACACAATGAAACATAAAAGACAGTCAATGTGATAATTTGATCCAGCATAAATTGAGATTCTAACTGAACATCAGATGTATGGAGTAAGCAAATTGAGGATTTCTCCATACATGGGGCTATAAGTACATCACCGAACCACATCAAACCAAATTCCAGTAATTTGATTCAGGATTTACCCAGCGTATCTCAATAAAAGCATTTGCACTTTTAGAGTCTTATATGCAAGAGCATTTTGCAATACTGAGGGTATGGCTCTCGATACAGCGAGCAAAACAGGATTCATGTAGCCGACCTCAAATAGTTGAGACGAGGCTCTGATGATGATGATATATGCAGGAACATTTTGCACTATCTAACATAATCTATTCTGGAAATAAATAAATCATTCAATGAGGAGGGATATTATGAGCAACATACCTGAACCATTAGAAGCATTTCACAAAGTGTGCCACTTCCTTTACGCAATACCTCATCAGGTGGCATAGGTATGATAGTTGCAAGTGAAAAAATGAAGGGATGGACATATGTCATGTAGAGATAGTAAGTTGAGACAGCATCTGAGACAGAATAAGAGGCCATTGTCTGAACCAATTTTAACGAGAAAAACTGCATTAGACATGTCGAAATTGCCTAACAAAATCCACATCACTCTCCTTCACAATACAAAATTAACAGTACTTGAAACAACTCAACAACTAAATGCATCCATGAGAGGAACATAAACTTTCACAAAATTTAACAGAAATAATGATAATATATGGGACATAAAATCAAACAAACCTCAACAAAAAGGAAGCAATTCAAATCAATTTTCTCTCGTACCTGGGGTTGTTCCTTAGCGAAGCGAACCATATCCTCGGGATTCACCTCAAGGGGATCATAGCCCAACTTGGCCTTAGTGACAGCCTAAGAATCAAATAAGATTTAAATATGAACTGCACAATCCAGGTCATTTTAGTACAGTTGTGCAGGGGGAGAAATATCACAATGAATATTATAACAATATTGAAAACTCTAAATCTACTGAAGAAAATGCATTAGAAATATCTTAATTATCAAGAACACCCATGCACAAATTTCTCAGGCATTGTACTCCATTAGAAAGAGAATAAGAAATCATGGAGAATTAACCTCGGAGTCATTAAAATATCGCTAACAAAAAGGATATGGGAAACTAGATCCATGGTTCACTCCAATATAATTATCACTAAAACCATTAGTGTAGAAGCAAGTGCAATCAAAGCCCAACAACACTGCCGCTCATGTGATGGCATCTCAGGCGAATGCATATATAACATTTAGAGCAAGAAAAAGGATACCAATTTAGACAATCTTTACCCAATCCTATAAACTGACAACACTCTTACTCCCTTACACTACAACCGCCGTTTACAATTTGTGCACATTAAAACTATACCCTCCAAAAATAAATCCATCAAGAATCTGCATGATTTTTGCAGATGCACTTAAAACATATGGCACATACAAAATTCTTGATGGCAAGAGTCACTCATTATGGAACATACAAAATTGAACAAAATAGTTAATATATTTAAATGGAAGCAAAGACATAATGGCAAGAATCTAACCAAACTGCAAGCACAAATTAAGATTATCCTTAGAAATGAGCCCAGGACCCTAAGTGCTAGTCACAACTACAGGAAAAGAAAGCACTTAATTCTATCAAACATGAAGAAGCTAAAAGTTTCATGCTCGATCAAGCGAGAAAAAAGAAAATTCTTTACCTTTAAGCCTTGACTTCCCTGAGGGAGGTAACTGTCTCGTTTCACCCATGCAAAACAATCCAAATGGCATGCAAACCTGGCACGACACTCTCCTTGATTACTATCACACCGGAATCCAATCTCCTGCAAGAGAAGCACCTATCTTTCAGTCATGAAACACCAAGAGACAGCAAAAAAAACTATGACATCAACAAATTAAAGAGAAAAGGACTAATTACATCTCCATTGTCACAAAATCATCAATCTCTCTACAACACTGAAAATTAGTACGTCTTCTCACCCTTCTATTTAATCTACAATTTTTTCTAGTTACGAGTTACTCTCTCATCATTATCAACCATTTCAGCTTGTTCACTCTTTATATGAACCATATAAGAAGTTGTTCGTAGTTCACACTGGCAGAAGGCATTGGTCAAAGTACCCCCAACCTTCAAGCACAAATACTCCTAATCACTGATGATCTAAAAATATCCCATTCTAATATTTCAAAATATAAATATGAAGTCAGATTGGTAGCCACAGGATATTCTTTGGAATACAGTATTCATTGAGGAAAATTTCTCGCAAACCACTTAGATGACTCATACTCGTACCTTTTATAATATTGTCATTTGAGGTTTGCCACTTTACCAATTAATTAAGTGCCTTCTTGCATGAAGGTCCTCCTGATGAGCTTAATATCGAAACATCTCTCTGGCATTGCTTCTATTACGCATGTTCTTTATTGGACTATTAAAATTTCAATTTCTTGTTTCAAACAAGGTTAATGACGTGAAGTTAAGAAGTTTAGCGCTGCAGTTATTCAATCAAGAATGGTTTGCAGTGATTGTGATCAACCTTGCTTGTCACCATCTTCTGCTATAGTGATTGTCTGACATCAAGGACTTCATTCTGAACTTGGTTTCACCACTCGTTTTCATTTTGAAAATTACCAAAAGGGGTACAAATACATCAAATTGCATCAGTGGATGCAGACAAACATGCATAAAACAAAAAAGAAGCGGTAAGGAAAACCTATAGAAGAGAAAGATCAATATGCGAAATAAGGTTCACTATGGACTCCTTGGGTTTCACCTGTTGCACCCAATCCGTGTGTTGACAATACTAGTGACACTCAAGGGTTCAATTTACCACGAAAAATAAAGCATTACCGGAGCAAGCATCAAATCAGTATAAGATGTTGCTCAATTAACACCATTTCCATCTGTTTCCTCTTCTCCCTAGAGCACAGTCCATGCTCATCTATTTTGATTCCACTCGTGTTTAAGGGAAAATTTAATGTGCATGCATGTCAACAGTGCCCAGTATAATTAAAGTTCTTCTTGTTAATTATTTAATATCTTTGTCTTTACAATTAATGTCAGCAGAACAAAAATTCCAGTCTTTGATCAAATTGAACAATCTCACCCATGATGTTCTCGATTGTGGGAATCTCAAGATTAGAACTAGATGACAGAAGAGGATGAAAAAGTTACAAAGTGACAGACAAAGACAAATTCAATAAAAGATAATTGGGGCAGAGTATTCAACATACATTGTTCATACTAATACCATGACGAGTTGCTCTGCTTTCCAAAAACGGCCAATCAAAGAAATCACCATTGTAGGTCACATAAATACCAGGTTTTAGTTCTCGCATATGAGTGAACCACTGAGAAAGGAGCTCTTCCTACAAAATGGCAAATTAGAATTTAGTAGCACAAACCATCTTTCTGTATGCTCGCATTCCACATATAATGAAAAAGCTATTTGCTAGCCAATCAAAACTCATCCATAAAATATTTGTTACCTCATTTTTTACATTTTTAACTTTGAAACGTCCTTCAAATTCTGGTTTGGGAGTGTATTCTAAATCCTCAATATCCTCTGAAACACACTGAATAAAATAAACACCATTAGTATATTCAAAACTTTGACCAAATGTTACAATACTAAAGTGGGCAAGGCCAAACAGTGGAGCATTCCAGAAGGTCCTCCAAATCATGATTTTCCTTTTCTGTAGTATCATATGCAAGAAAACCCACTTGATAGGACCCATAAAAGGTGGACCGCTTTTAGCAAAATACGATTTAAAGTATTAGTTTGCTCATCTACACTACTAGAAATTCAAGGATGCTATTCAATATGATACCCATGAAAATGTTAAATGTCCTAACAAAGGGGGATGATTTGCCAGCCAATGATAAGAATAGAGTGAAGGAAACCACATGGTGACGCTCAAACAATATAAAGGCAATTATGATTTTCATGAGTTAATTCTAACATGCTACAATCACATGGCAGCAATGCTAGTTCCCAAAAACGTTAGGAGCCAAATGAAATCTGAAATAGCAGTGAAGAAAAGCAAAAATTCAGACGTAGATACCAAAATAGAGAAATGTAGGTAACATATAAGATAATTTAATATTGTTATACTTAACATGATTACAAGTGTGTGCCAACTAATTAACAAAGAGAAACATGAGATCAGACTTGGGAACTCACAAAAGATGTGATGGATCAGTTAGTTAATCAAGGCACACATTACCCATTTAGAAGTGTGCATCGTGCAACCAAATTTTGTTTGCAACTGGTTGGGGTTTGTTGATATAGCAATGAAGCCCTAAAATGCTTAGATAACAATACAGTAAGCAGAGATTCTACTTGGCATTTCTCAAAATCCAGGACGTAACTACAGATACAAATCATATTTGAACATTGATAAGTATCGATTAATAACTAGCACAATGCACACAAATATACAATCAACAAATTGCCACACATACACACACTATGCATGCATGAGCCCATGTAGAAACATACACATCCTCACACAATGAACAATATTTTATTTCTTTCATTTTATATATGTAAGTATATTTCACTTTACAGGATTAGAAGTATTTTAGGAGTATCAACAATCAATATTAGTTTCCACACAATACGATATTACATATTTAGAAGTATCTTAGGAGTTTCGACAATCAATATTAGTTTCCACACAATACGATACCAGTATGTTAAGCATATACTAGAAATAGAACGTGCGTTGAGTGCTTTAACGTTTTAACGCGTGCTATTTTCATAAGTAAAAATAACATGCTACAAAAATGTTATTGTTAAAGAGAGATTCATAGCTTTATTCTTGGTTTAAGTTCTAACTCTTTATCAAAAAATGTAAATAAATTGACAATCACCATTAACATTTAATATATATACAAATGTTTTATAATGCACATTTGAAGTTCTCAATGAAAAATTGAAAACTAGTAAGTTCCTAAACAGAAAAGGGAGCTTGAGACTCTTTTTCCTCTGTGTGTGTGTGTGTGTGGTTTCTTATTTCTCTCTCCTCAATGGTGACACTCTGATGAATTAACTAGTATTTCAAAAAATGCCAGGCAGCACCTAGGCACTAGGGAGGGTTTAGGCCACCCAACGCCTAGGAAGCAGCTTGGAACCTGATGACCTAGGTTCAAAAGGTGGCAAGGGATATCCAATGATCCTATTATAGGTCCAGATTTTGTATAAAAAAATGCACATTAATGCAGTTTTTATATTCCAGAAAAACAAAAACACCAAAAATACCCCACCCAATGGGTATTTTTGCACCTAGGTACCCTAGGCGCCCGCTATGTACCCTGGGCCCTCACCTAGGTGGGGTACGACGCGGGTGCCCAGGGATAACCCACGTAGTTGGTCTGCCCAATCCCCTCTAGCCCGCCTAGGGCACCACCTAAGCCCTAGGTAGACCGCTTTTTGAAATAATGAAATTAGCAAATGGATTTTCTTTCATTTCTCTCATTTTGCTCTTTGCTTCTATTACCTCTCCTCCATAAGATTTTACTAAAATTCAACTAATTTACATGAAAACTAACTACCATAGGGAACTCAAACAGTAAAAGTATTGTTTCTTTGGTAGCAAGTTGAGAGAGCGTAACAGTTATTTTCTTGAAATCTTAGAAACGTCAACAAGAGAATGTTGAGTACTTAAAGGCAAAGTTCAAGTTTTACATACCTTTGCATGTGGGTAAAAAAATAATAACCATAAAATCAAACATATTGTTTACATGCACAAGAAAATAACAACTTAATATTGAATAGAGACCGTCCAACTTTTTAGTGGTCAAGCATAATAAATGATTTAAAGAAATAGGCGTATAAATGTTCATGCAAGTTGATATTACACATAGAGCCAAGAGAAAATAATAATGTAATGAGTTTTGTACTTGGATATAACACACTAGCCTACTCTAAAATATCACTATAAGGCGATAGAGCCATAGGAATCGAATGAGATGAAAAGTCCCATATCTGAATTCACACCTCTCTCTATCTTAAACCCCTCTTTCTCTCTCTCTCTCT